TCTCCCCAGCCACCCCTAGGGCTGGAAGAAGCTCCCCGCCCCTGAAGAATCAGAGCCTGCAGCTAGCTGCCTCTTGTTCCAGGATCATTTCTGCATAGCCTGACCTCAAGTCTCCAGTTCACACTCTAGAAGTGTTCGGTGAATGAACAAATCAATGAGTGAAGGAGTCAGGCAGGACGCCCACCGTCTGAACCCCCTTGGAAATGAAGCCCCTGTAGGGACCACCGATTGCATCCTGTGACATATTTGGCTTTCCCGAGTCCCAGCTTCTGCTCTCGCAGGTCTGCAGGGAGTTTACAGAAGTTGACAGTTACTGATGCCTTGTTCCGATTAGGATTGGCAAGTATAATTAATTCTTTAAAAGTCAGGTTTATTAAGCATACATATACATACTGCAAAACTCACCCTTTTAGTGTCTGATCCTGCAAGTTTTGACAAAAGTAAGCAACCATGTAATCACCCTCCCTGGTTCACCAGCAACCACTGTTTTTGTTCCTGATTTTACCTTGCAAGAGTGTTAAAGAGATGGAAGCCCAGTATGCAATCCTTTGAGCCTGAATTCCTCCAGGTGGCATAACAGATCTAGACCCATCTAGATTGTTCTATGTACAGTAGTTTGTTAGGAGTTTAAGTTTAATGCTAGTAGAGAACTTCACTTCTAGGTAGGTAGGTAGGATATAAAGAATCGCATGAGTTTATGTTCTACTCTGAGGCTAGACAGAGCCTGTCAAAGACTAAAACAGAACACCCGGAGGGAAGGAGACTTAGGGGAGTTTTCTGACATATTGATAAGTGAGCAATCTTCTATGGGACAGGATTTTCCCCCCCAAGATTTATTTGTGCATACAGAACTGGGGTACAGGCCCGAGATGCAGGGGCAGTGAGATTCACCAGAGACAGAGTGAGGAGTAGAACAGCCAGAGGCCAAAGCACACTGCTGAGGGGCGCAGTGGGCATTCAGGAGAGGTCTGCCGGGCCATGTGGGTCAGCTCCTGGGCGCAGATCAAACTCGAGCCAAAGCGGCTGCGGTCAGCTTCACAGTGCTGCACTTTAACTCGTTGTGCCACCAGGGAGGGCCAGGGACAGTCAACACCTGCCTATCTGCAACTTGTAGGTCTTCAGAGAAATGGGGACACAGAGGGGTTCCTTCTGGAACACCTGCCCTGAAAGTAAAAGACCTCTGCAAGGGTACCCCAACATCCAGAGGGCAGAAAGTATAATGAAAGCTCTGTGTGCTCCTTTTGCAGAGCAGGTAGGGGAGCCCACACTCAGCCTGGCTCTGCCAGGGAGCTCAGAGAAGCTTCCATCACCCCAGAGTGGGGCAGCCCCGGCCATTCCCGCGGGCCACGCGCGGGGGCGGAGGGCGGTGGTGCGCGTGGGCCGCAGGTCGGGTACGCCTGCTTTTCCGTGTCTCCGCCCATCCTGAGTCTGGTTGTTTGTGTCTGGGCCTCGGGAGGTGGGGGGAAGGCGTGGCCCCACAAACCTACTCTAGCCTGGAGTGGTAATGTGCCCCTGCACCCTCCCAGGGCTGGCGGGGTTAAGCACGGACAGCATTTAAAATTCAGCCAACCATAGTCCTGTGCTCCTGTTGTTTTTGTGTTGTTGGGGGTGGGGGGTGCTGGTAGTGGGATGGGTGTTAAGGGGAATGTTCTGGGGGGTGTGGTGGTGGTAATGGCAGTGGTGGAGGTTGTTACTGTCAGTGTTGGGGTATTGTTAGGGGTGTTGGTGGCGGTAATGGCAGTGCTGATGTTACAGAGGGTGTTGTGTTGTTGGGTGTTGGTGATAGAATGACGGAGTGGAAAGGGCTTTTTCCCTTCCACTAAATGGCTTTTCTAGGCCAGGGTTGGGGGGCTCAGACAGGCCCCCATCTGGATCAGAAGTATCTGGCATGTCTCCTGAAGCCCAACAAGTGTCATCTCTATATGACAAAGGAGGATGGTGAAGATCTTCAAAGAGCAGGCATCACAGTTAGAAGGAAACGCTCACTACGAGAAGGTGTGTGCGCTCAGCAGGTAGGCAGGGCTTGCTCTGTGCGGGGCACTGTGTTCGTACTTCACGAGTTCACTCAGGAGCCTTACACCAGCCTTTGCATGCAGGCTTTCTGTGGTAGGTCCAGGGCAAAGGAAAGCAGGCTGTGGAAAAGTGACACCCTAGGCGTTAGGTGTGAGAGGGGGCTGTCATGTAGACACTAGTTCTTGCAGAGGACCGAGCGCCAGGAACTCCTCTGCTGCATATGGCCTGGAGTCAAAGGCAGGTGCCGCAAAGAAAGGGAAAGACCAGGCATGAGAAGCCTGCAGATGGTGGGCAGTGGGCTTCTGAGAATCCCCGTGGACTTCTGCGTGGCTGTCCGGTGGACGGGAGGTGACCTTGTTCATGGAGGCTCTGGGCGCGGAGGAGAGCTGAAGCCTGGCCGGATTCTGTGCGTGATAGAGCTCACACTCACTGCCTCCTCAAGCTGCTCTGGCCACCCTGTGCTGACTAGCTCATTCTGTCCTCACAATGCCGTGAGGTAGGGGTTCTCATTACAGTAAGTTTCCAGCAAGGAAGCGGAGGCACAGCAAGGGTCAGCATCCCATCCAGGGGCACAGAGGCTTACATGGCACAACTGGAGTGCAGCGCCAGGTGGGCCACACAGCACCTTGGGCCTGCGTAGGAGCTCAGCTCGCCTAGGAGCACTCAAAAGCCCCCAGGACTGCCCAGGGGGGACTGGGCTTCCAGATGGGCAGGTACATCCAAGCACACACTGGACAACCTCGTGGAGATGTGCCAACACCACCTCCCCTCTGGAGGGTGCCCTGGAGAACAGCATCATAAACCTTGGCATGCACCCCACTACTGGGCTCCCAATTGAGCGGAGGGAGATGCCAGGGAACAAAGTGATGCCAGTGTGCAATGTTTGTGATTTGCCTTTCTCTTGGGTCAGGCAGGTTTCTCCAAATGAACCTATAACAGAGGTTGCTTCTTTGTGTTACAGGTACTCATCAAAAGCTCATTTAGAAAAGTAATACCCTCCCAGAGGCCCCGTTTAGGCAGAAATATATGGCCTCCCTCGGCAGGTATAATACCTATTTGGGCCAATATCCGTATCGGGCATTTTAGAAACCTTTTTAAAAAGAAATAACACCACAGCCAAACAGCCTCTCTCATGGCTGACTCCAAGCACATTCTATTAAACTCATTTCCATGAAAATACGCAGCAGGGACTCTCTCAAGCTGAGAGAAGGAGAGCCCAGCACATGCCCCCATCTTGGGCAAGTCATTGGTACATTCCACTTATGCAGCTGAAGAAAGAGGGCGGCTAAATCAGCTGCACTGGGCTCGCAGCAAGTGGTCAGATGGCCCCTCCTCCTCGGGGCTGCCTCTTCCCTAGTCCCTGCACCTAGGGAGCCTGTCCAGTGAAACCACCCAGTCCTCCCAGGTTTCCATGGAAATCAACCAAAAGCTCAGTTAAGTTCCAATAGCCTACCCCTCCCATGTGTTCACTTTAACTTAAAAAAGAATGATGATAGAATTCCTTTAAAAAAAAATAATTTACTGTTGGGCCCTCCCTGGTGGTGCAGTGGGTTAAAGCACACCACTGTGAAGTTGTCCGCAGCCACTGCAGCACTGAGTTCAATCCCCCGCCAGGGAGCTGACCCACATGGCGCAGCTGTCTCCCCCCTGCTCCCCTCAGCAGTGCATTTCAGTAGCTCTGACTGTTCTGCTCCCCTCTCTGTCTCTGGTGAATCCTCTCACCCCCTACACCTCTGGTCTATACCCCACTTCTTGTATAAATAAATAAATATTTAAAAAATGTACTGTCACCCCTTGGTATCCAGGGGGACTGGTTCCAAAACCCGCATAAGAATATTAATTCCAAAGTCCCTTATATAAAATGGCAAAGTATTGCCTCACTCATCGCTAGGTTACTTATAACCTCTAGTACAGGGTATGTGCTATGCAAACAGTTGTTATACAGCACTGTCTGGCAGTAATGCAAAGGAAAGAAGTCTGTGTTCAGGAGAGAACAAGCACCACAGGCCTGACTGTGCAGTACG